AATTAAATTGCGAAGTATTTTAAACTTGTAGTATCCCGAGGATTGTGGCCGGTTCAATTATCGATAAATCTGGGGGAAAAAGGAAAAAGAATCTGGAAATGTTCTATTCTCACATCAAAATCGTGAGTTTGGGTTTTTGTGCAAGTAAAGCCAGTGTGTGTGTTTGAGAGCAATTTGAAGCGATAATTATTTGATTAAATTTAAATTAAGTATTGATTACGTGGAAAAGTTGCATCATGTAATCAGTAGTAGTGCACGCTATAAACTCTTCTAACAGAAGTCAGAGAGACTGCATTTCATCTTTCTGTTTTGCATGCTTCTTCCATTCATTCTGAACAAATGGGATAATCCACTCCTTTCTTTTTTGGGTACTTATTTCATTCTTTTTCTATTAAAATACTTTTTGATAAAGAAAATTTGTCATATAAGTAAAATCGACTATGTTTAATAAACTCATCTTTAAAACAGACATCATATAGATCTTTATCTAGATTCAGGCTGCTCAATTAGACATATCCACTCGACATAAGTTCCATGCAGATTTATGCACAAATAGATAATAGTTCTGATTTTATTTTAGAAACTAAGGCCCTATTTGATTCCTTAAATTTTTCATGGATTTTCTCACTTTTTTGCTATTTGATGGCAGAAGTTTTTCATTGAAAATCTTTTCCCACCGCCCCACCCACGCGCCCATTTTCCTTGTTTTGTGGGAATTCATTTTCCCACCATCCAGGTTTCTAGCCTTTTTTTTCTTGACAATGGTAACAAATTTTATAACCAATTGTAAAAAAAAATCACTTTAATAGATAATTTTCATATAAAACAAAATCAAACGAACACCAAATTTTGATTAAAAAAATGATCTTGTGGGAATTTTTTTTCCTTTTTTTTTAATTTACTTTTTGGCAATTGAAACAAATTTTATAACAAATTGTGGAAAAAAATTTCACTTCAGTGGACAATTTCCATGTAAAATAAAGTCAAGCGAATACAAAATTTTAAAATTTTTCAAGTGGAAAATTATACCAATCAAACACACTTAATTAATAATTCCTTGTAAAACAATTTTTAGGCAATTACTTTCCTGAGAATTCATTTTTTTTCCACCCATTTTCAACCCTTATAATCAAACGAACCCTAAGAGATATCTAGACATTATTTAGTGGAAAAATTGTAGCAGCGATCCCTAACCTTTTCATTTTTTGTAGACTTTATCTTAACCTTTGTTTTGTGCAACCAGAGGTCCCTAACCTTTCATAAATACGCATCGGAGGTCCATCTAGACAGAAACCATACAAATCATCATTAGTCAACCTGGAAAATTAAAAAATAAGATATTTTGACCATTTTAAGGAAGGGCATTTTCATTCATACAGTAATGTCTCTTTAAAACAATAAATAAAAGAAAAAAAATCACCATCTTCTTCAAACACCCCGCCCGACTCCACTCCCACCCTTCCCCAACACCAAATTTTGATGCCCATTACCACTGTGGCAGCCGCAAAAGCCACCACCATGGCCACCAAATTTGTTCTCCTCCGCCCTCACTCTCCCTTCATTTTTCGCAGCAAATTGGTTTACTCCATCAATAAATTCTGGAAAAAGTGATAGAAATGAATTTCCCGTCTGCTAATCTGCGATATCTAGTGGAAAAAGGAAGTGCCATTCGAGATCTGCAAGTTTTGATTCTTCTAAGAAGCAGAAGAATTCTAAGGTTTCGATGGAACATACCACAATTTTTAGAGGTTCTCCTTCGCTATGCAATGCAGTTCTGTGTCAACTTAGAGCATGGCAGTTTTAGAGATCTATTAATTCGTCTTGAAAACTCAGTTTTCAATTGTCCGATCAGAACTGACAAACAAGGATAATATTGTCGACGATTTGTATAACTCATTTTCTCTTGCAAACCACCGCTACTAGAGGTCTTCACACTTCCAAACAGTGTTATTAAAACCTGCTTAACCGGTCGGCCTACTAAATCGGTGATCTGGACCTTATTCCAGGTCGGGCAAGCTCATATTACGTAAATGCAAGTGATCCGGTCAAAAATTGGATTTGAACGGATCAATTAGCCAGGTTTATATAATTATCGGGTTGGTCGGCCCAGTTTTCCTGATTGATTTTTTAATCAAATTTAAAAATTTTCTTATTGAAATTTTAGGAGACTAAACATTTGAACACTTGACATCTAACTAATTAGAATATAACATTACCACCAAAGCAAGGAATACTGTGTTGTCCTTTTGTATAATAAACTATATTTAACCTATGAACAATTTGACGTATTTTGAAAATATGTTTAATAAAATTAGTCAAATGTTTTCTTTCATTTTGTAATATCAAATAATTATTTCAAAAATTTTAATTTTAACTAAAACAAATTGAATA